TCGAGCTCTCCTGCAGTGCGCAACCAGATCTTGTACCTCTACTGGGGGAATGTTCTTTTGATTCCCCAGCAAATATGTAGCAGCAACGGCGATGTCCATGGGCTTTCTATCCACCCAAAGCGTTGCTTGCACTACCACTAAATCTTGACTTATAAAATCCTTTTGTGTGCTCCCTTGAGGCTCTTTACCTGGCCTCTATAGATCCACGGCTCTTGAATCCGTACCAATCCCAGGTGTTGCATAGTAAACCTGCTCGCAATTACAGCCGAGGTTGCAATCGCGTGGTTCAGGTTGACTTGGGCTACTCTCAAGGGCCCACCTCATTTCTGCTCGTCTAGGTCCGAGAGCCTTAGGATACCGTCAACCTTAGGTCGCTCTCACTTCTCCGGTCCAGCTCGAGCCTTTTCAGGTCTACACCATCAAGCAGCTCATGCGACAAGGGAACCTGCCCCTGTGTAAGAGCCGCTAAATCTTGCTCAATGGGACTCATGGGTTTGAAGGTGGCTGCTGTATCTGCTGGAGCAGGGATATTTTCATCCATCTACATTTCAGCTCCCCAGTTTTGTTGCTATTTAGCCATGCCCTCAACTTTGCAATATACAAGGAGCATCACTGGACTGAAATACACTCCGCAGAAATCAACCGGTTGCGTCCTTTAAACACCTCGTCCATTATGGCGTCAGCTCATCCGGATTCAGCCCCTCCGCAGGATAGTTTCTAGGCAACTCAGGAAGCACTACAACCAAGCAACCAAAAAACCTTTTCCCGCGCCATTCTAACTGACTATGAAGAATGGGATCCTTTTTTCTTGAAACTAATACAAAGCTTTGCAGAAAACATCACTCAAGACTCCATACTGTCCATTACACTTCTTTCTAAGCTGTTTTAAATCTACATAAATAATCTGCGAATGTAACCCTTAATACAACCTATCGGATCGATGTGGCGCGTGGGAGGCACCTCACTCTCAATGCTGGAGCGATGAGGATGGTAGAAGACAATGATATCCAATCTTCAGAACTAATGTTCCAATTCCAGTAAGCCATCCCTCACCGCACAGAGTACTACTCTGAAGTTTGGCGCGGGCTTCCATCCGTTGCTGTCATTATGTATGCTGACGGGTCGCTAATGGACTCTGGCTCTAGACAATAAAAAAGTTGGTAAACTGGCTAGAGCTATTTGTATGGAGAAATTCATTGGCCCACAATTGGCTGTGAGGTGCTGCTCAGACGCGCAGCAGGCTTAAGTTAATCGCGGAAGCACTTTGACTAGTAGCATATTCCAAAATGTTTCTTGATGCCCTGCATAGCGGTAGGACTATGCTTCTGCTAACGTTGTATGAACGTGATTGAGAACTATGGTGCAATCACCGGATTAATTTCCTTAAACTAGTGAGAGGTACTTAGAAGGCTCATATTAATGAATTCCAATACATATTCATAGTCATGTTTGTTTCGGAATAGTCCACAAGACTCCCTCTGATTGAGCTTCAGAGATTCTGGTAACCTTATAAGAGTAGATTGGCTTGCTTGAAAGGGAGGGAGGCACTTTTCCGTGATAAAAAGGGCAAGCGTAAACATGCCTTCGATTATAAGTCGCTCCTAACCACTAGAAAAAAGCAAAAACCAAATTGTGGAAAATTATTCGCTTTATTTTTTTTTTTTATACAACCAGTGGAGTCAAACTATTCCCTCTTTTTATCTGGAACTAAAATGCAAATCAGAAAAGCAGGCGCCTTTGAAAAAATATACGTATGTATACGCCGCATTTAGAATAAAACGAGTATATTTACCAAGCGAAAGGAAGCCTAAGGAATCTTGAGGCCTTGCAGTTCTTCGAACCACGTTTCAAAATAAAAAAAAACACATACCACCATTCCGGGATACAAAAAAATTTACAGTAATGGTTCTCACTCGATCCCTGCGTTCTATAAGACTTATGATGCGTGAATGGTGTAAATCAATTAGCTATCGCAGCAGAACTTGCCAGGATGACTACGAAGAAGGAGGATTGAATAGTCACTTTATTTAGCGATGCTCAAGTCTGCAGTGAAAGCGACTAAAACTATGTTAAATGAGACTTTTCAGCTAGCCTGGCAAAGACCAAAAGTTGACCTTCCGGATCTCTCAATTTCATTTGGGATAGCAAGTGTAGGAATAAAGGGTGATTTAATAAGACCGCAAATTTTCTTTTATAAATAAACACAACAAAATTTGTCGAATGATTTTTTTTTCGTCACTTGATTTTTGTTCAAGCAACCAATTGGTAAACTGCAAATGGCCTCTTGTCTTCAGTTTCTGTGTCAATTGAATTTTGTAGGTGTGTAAACATGCATAGGTCTTTTATTAAAATCCGCTAAACGGTGCTGGAGGAGAGTTCGATTGCTGTGCACGAGGACTAATTTGGGTTGTCACGGCCTGGCCCACACTTTGTTCCACAGCAAAAATACTTTCGACCGAACGCCCTGCACGAAAGCGCACGTTCATTGTCACGTTAGGCATCGAACCAGTTTCTTTGAATTTCTGCACCGAAATACACTTTTCATAAAACGTTTGGATCACTTTTATGCATTGTTCAACTGAGTATCGCTCTATGACTAAGTTTGCCAAAGCCTGTAGTGCCAATGGTCTTAAAAAAAAAAAACAACAAAGATCTGCATCACCCTTGAGTCATTCTATATTCAAATGTCCTAGTACATATGTACATTCCATTGTTGGGTTAGAAGATGATGTATTTTGGAAAGAATTTTCATTCTTTTCTGTATAATTTGGCATGGAGTGATAATAGTTTCAATATTGTGCCATCTTCAATATCATCTTTCAAAAAATGGCCTTGGTCAGCGCTGTTTAGTTTTAGTTATATCCTTGAGCTTTTTAATAAAATCCAAAATCCAAAACACTTTCGATACAGTTTCTGAACCGATGTTGTATTTTTCAGGATATGCCATTTTGGATAGATCCCATTTGGTCACATAACACCGCCGACCACGAAGCGGGACAAAATGCCTTGGTAAGTAACCAAAATTGACTGACACACTAGTAATTACTTGCCAGATTGCGATCGACGAAATTTTTTGTAAATATTATAAACTTACACTTGAATTTGAATCGATTGCAATTAGGTTGGTAGATACTGCAATTCCCGGAAATTTTAAATTTTTAACAGTTAAAGTTTTCCCTTATTTTACAACCTTTTTTATCTTTTTTCTCACTACATTTAGCTCAACATCAAATTACCTGAACTAAAAAATTTCAATGTATTACCAATGGTATTGTCACCCTATACACTCTCTAAAGCCGAAAATATGAAGCAAAAAGTATTTAATTTTGATAATCACGATCGAAAGATAGCCTAAGTAATATTTGTAAGCAAAAGCTCACTCAATTGTTTTTGATTTAGTGAAGAAAAGTGATCTCAAGGTTTGTGCGTCGCTAAGCGTGTCTCCAAAATTCGAATATGTAGCCTTTAAGCCTTTTTAGTTAATGCGCTTTTAAATAGTTTATAAGAAAATTGTAATGTTACCGCGACATTGAATTAAACTGTTCGTATGTGTAGCAAATAATGAAGCGATCAGATTAAAAAATAATATCTAATATTGTTATTGTAATAGAAAAAAAAATTAAAAAAATACCTCGAAAATGTTTGGTAGGGAACTAAAGATAAACAAACGAAATATTTTAACCATGCTCAATTCATTGTAACAAATGTCTGCTTTTAAATTAGGCAAAAATATTTAAATTTCATTTTTAAATATTATATTTTTTTGTAGTAATGCTTAAAAAAAAAGAAAAATGTGTCCAAAAATTTAGTGTATAAGCATTTAAGTTAAATAAATAAAATCGAATGATTGTAGTTAGAAAACAAAAAATATAAAAAAAATATGTGCAGTCAAATTCAAGCAATCAGAGGATGTGTGATGCTTGAAAAAGCTTTGCACTCAGTCAAGACGCTCAGTCAAGACGCTGCAAAAAATGTATGCTTTGTCGTAACTGAATCTACATAGTGCAGCGATGGGCAGAGAGAGCTTTTGCTCTGCACGCGCCTATACAAAATGTATAGAAAGCTTGCAAGAGCTTTGCCCGCGGGCAAGGCGGTGCCCATCAAAAAAGATAAGAGAGGAGAGAGAGAGAAAGGGAGGGAGAGCCAACAATACTGTAAAAGAGAGGGCTTAGTATCCGTCACGAAGCTTTTTAAAACTTTCTGCAGATTTTACAAGTATGGTTACATCAGAACATATCCCACCGGGAAGGCTTTTCAAAGCTTTCTTTAAATTTTTAGTATGTGCGCGCTTCCACTCCACAATGCCTGGGTTCAAACCCTGGTCAAAGCAACATCGCAAAAATATAGAAAAAAGGTTTTTTCTTAACAGCGGTCGTCCCTCGGCAGGCAATGGCAAACCTCCGAGTGTATTTCTGCCATGAAAAACAGCTTCTCATAAAAATACAATCGCCGTTCGGAGTCGGCGTAAAACTGTAGGTCCCTCCGCTTTGTGTGACAACATCAAGGCGCACGCCACAAATCGGAGGAGAAGCTCGGCCAAACACTAACATATGTGTAAGCGCCAATCTATTATTATTATTATTATTAAAAGCTTCCTCTGGTCGTCGCAGGTACGGCGCCAGTCGTGACCAAAACACAACCCATGCAAGAAGCTGTTACGTATATGAGCACTCATAGAGAAAAGGCTCTATCTGGTCGTTTCTGGTTTAGACAGCGCATTGCCCGAGTGCCGAGCTTGTTTAAGCTTTCTCCGGATTTTGTATGGATAAAAGCTTTTTCTGCCCATTACTGGTATAGATCGGTGATGGGCAGCACCATGCCCGCGAGAGGTGCTTCTTTAAGGTTGAGATTGGTATAGACCGGTGATGGGCATTAGGTTGCCTGCGGGCAAAGCTCTTTCAAGCTTTCTATACTAAATGCCGGTATAGACAGATCCTTTTCTTTTCTAACTTCTTTTCTTCTGTTATTAAGACTTTAAAATAAGTGCAACAAATACTTACCTAAAAATCCGGCGCCACTAATTTAAAGAAAGCATTTGCTAATTCAATGCCGAAGAAACAAGCAGCATTTGCTGGAAAAGCGCGTATCATAACCGGTGAAACGCCGCGATAGAGCGCCATTGGACCATCGGTGCGGATTAATTCTATAAAAACACTACGTACGCCATGCTTGTACTTATCGGAAGGGGCTAGTAGTAAGAGAAAAAATATAGTAGAAAACTCTTAGTATAGGAGTAATGAGTAAAGAACTTACAATAGCAGCTATTGCTGTGACTCAATTGAAAGCATGCAGAGATGTACGAAATCGTAGAAAAGGGTTTTCAAGACATCTCGAGCTTTATAGCAACTTTTGCTTGAGCCCTAGTTAATTTTAAAGCGCTTCACAATGTTAAATTGAAGTATGGTCCCTTGGAACCGTGAATTAACAGAAAGGTTGCTTTACGAATTTATAGCCATCCAAGTTCTATAAGGGAGTCACCTACTACGTCGTACCGATACATCTTTTCATCGAGGGAAATGTTGCGTAAGTGCCCTGAGTCTGACAGAAGAGGTTTTGGAAAGGCATGGGTGCAATTACCGCTTCTTCGATAATGCAAGTATTCTTGGGAACTAAAAGCATCTTTTTTTTCGGAAAAATCTTCGATACTATACAAGTATATTCCACCGGAAAGATGTTCCGTTTCCAGCATTTAATATCGCCCATGCGCTGTGGTAAATGATGAAAAATATTTTCGCATAATTTTCAAATAGAAAATCTGAGCTACTATCAGACTTAGCGAATGGGCGAATTTTTGTTAAAAGTTTGGGGTCAGAACATTCCAGGAAAATTAACGTCATCTCTTCGTACAGTCAGGAAACAATAAGAGCTCGATCGTATCTCGAAGGCATAGCATTGCCCTGATTTGGGTACCACGGCACCGCAAAAAGCGACTAGAAAGCGAACCTGGGTCATAACGAAAATAATACGCACCTCCTCTGTCGAGAGCGGTGATGATTCAGATATTCGAAAACAAAATAAATGGTTGTAATATGGACTGTAATATAGGAACTTTCTTAAAACGAAAATCAAAAGTTATCTACCAAATAGGCCATTGTGAACTCTTACGAAGCTTGTGAAAAAGTTTTGATCTCAGGTCGCACCAGAAAAATAATAGCTGACTAGTTTCGAACTACCCCGAAATGATCCCGCACTAGGCCTTAAACTGTCCGGTTGCTTCCGAAAAAATATCGTGTAGTAGCCCTGAAATAGCCGTGAACTATCGCGAAACGGTCCTGAAAAAGCCATGAACCAGTCCCGAAAGGGTCCTGAACTAGTCCCGAAACGAGTCACAAACTAGTCTCAAACGAGAATTAGACCTGACACTGAAATGGTCCTATAATAGTGCTGGACAGGTCCCGAAGTGGTCCCCATATAGTCCTGAAAAGGCTCTGAAAAAGACGTGTACTAGTTCTCAAATGATCCCGAAATGTTCCTGAAATAGTCATATGTATTGCTAAATGGTCCTGAAAAATCTGGAACCAGTACCGTAATGATCCGGAACTAGTCCCAAAATCAACCTCTACTATGTAGTCCTAATCTAGCTCCAAGGATCCAGGACTAAATAGGGGTGAGCTGGCACCGAAATGGTCCCTAAATAGTCCTTAGCAGGTTCCCGAAATGATGCCGAAACGCTCCCGAAATGGTCTTGAAATAGCCCTGAACTAGGCCAGAAATACACAAGATGAAGCAATTGCAGATTTTCTGCTGGGTTAACGCAAATTTTAGCCACATCGAGAGCTAATATGTTTACACATTAAAAATATATATGCACTCTGATCCCTGAAACTGACGCTGTTAGACTGGGCCTGCTATGGAACACTTCCTTTTGTTTTGACATACTGAAGAAGTTAGCCAGGAAAATGTGGATTTTATACACCGCCAAATGATCTTCAGTGATATGAAGACCATTTCTAGGTATTTGGCAGTCGGAAACTTCTTTGTTTCGGCAAAGAAATTTACTTAAGCCAAGAACACCAGATTGGCTAGTTGTCTTAATGAAAAGTACAGTTAAAATAGTCCTTACGATTACACGTTGAAAGTAATCGTCCCTTAGATCACACTGATATGGCTCTTGTTTTTCATGCTTCGTCAGGGAAGGGATATGCCAAGAGCGGATTTGTGCGAAAAATCTTTTGTACAGATCTTCTGATGAGTCAAGAATGACTCGTCCGTAAATCTTTCGCACGACAGTCGGCTCTATGTAACGACCCAGATTTACGTACATCTGGCCAAACACTGTCACTGTGGTGATCTATGAGCAGAGAGGGAAAATAACTGCCGACACAAATTCTAGCCTCACCCCCTTCGTCTACTTATATAAAAAAAAGGATAACTATTGATTTCGTGCGGCAAAGGCTATGTATATCAAGCCTTTAATTCCTATATTGGGCGCCATTATCGTACAATGGTTAGGGTAGGAAATTTCACCTTGCTAGTTGAAAAAGTTTTGATAGCCAAAAATTCAACAAATCTAGATGAAGGCCCTCTTTAAACTCCTCAAAACAGATGCTTTCAATTTAGCAATGCAACCATGGAAACTTATTCACATATATGTATGTATGTATGTGTATAAAACTCGCACCTGTCTGCAAACGACTCTTGAGTACATCAGGCGGCATACCAACTATCCAATATGTTATGCCAGCCATGCCACCAGCAAATATGGCTGTCAACACTTCCATGTGCAAATCTGGTAATTTTTGCTTGATTAAATCTTGTAATGCTTCATAGGTTGCAAAATATACAGCATTTGCTGGCACATCTGTAAGAATTTGAAGTTTCAATTAAAATCTTACAATTAAAATATTGAACTACATAGTCTCGAGTCGAGTGGATAAATAAAGTGAACCCAAGCGTAGTTTTTTTACAAAGTATTTGTATATTTTCTTCCCATCTTTTTAATTTTCTAGGCATAAAA